GCAGCTCCTGCCAGCCTGCCAGCCGGGAGGCGCCAGCCCTGGTTTCCTCCCTGGTGGCACCCTCCTGTCGCCACCAAGGAAAGGTCACACAGTACCGGGGCCAACTTAGGGCCAAAGGGGGCTAAAACCCAGGGCGAGGGAGAGGAGGTTCCAGTAGAACCGGCCTTGGCAGAGGAATCAACGAGACTGCAGTTCAGGTTCAGTTTAGGGCTAGGATGGTGGTTGGAGGCAGGGACTGAAAATCTAAACCAGATGTGCAGAGGCAAGTCTGGCGCACTCTGGGAGGCTGAGGCAGGAAGACGGCGAGTTTTGGTCCAACCTGGGCAATTCAACCACTAGGCCAGATCTAGACTCAAAATAAAAGATAGGAACCAGCCTAGGGCTGAAGCTCTACGCAAAGGCCCTGGGGTCAGTCCTCAGTCCTGGAAAAGAAAAGAGGAAAAGGTTCAGCTCTTCGAGTCACCCACCCCTCAACGCTGCCCAGCCCAGGCAATCCCGGCGGTGGCCCCTCTTTGCCTCTGAGTTGACCCTGTGTGCCCTGCATCCACCCAGCACAGGAAACTGAGCCCCTATGGCGCCCAGCCCGGAGAACATAGTGTAACCAAAGCAAGCCCCTTTACTAACAAAATCCATAACCCAGGGAAATAATTAGAGAAAAGATAAGGAAGGGAAGAGCAGTATGGCGTACAGGGATGGAGGAGGGACGGGCCATGGCTGTCATAGAGCACTGGCCCACGTGCATGAGTTCCTGGGTCTGTTTCCCATCATCCCCTAAAAAAGAAAAGGAAAGGAAAGAGGAAAAAGGCCAGCACGGTGGCACATGCCTATCATCCCAGTACTTTGGAAGGCTGAGGCAGGAGGATCGCAAGTGCCAGCCTCTTCTGGACAATTTGGCAACAAAGCAAGACTGTGTCCAAAAATAAATAAATAAAGGACTGGGGATATCACCCTGAGTTCAACCCCAGTACCACAAAATTAATTCGTTAAAATTTTTAAAGCAAAAGAAAGAAAAGAAAAAGGACAACAGAGCAAAACGCAGATATAGAGTGGCCGGGGAAGAACCCACTGGGAAATGGATTTCTGAGTCCTGAAGGAAGTGGGTCAGCACCTTCCCACCCCAGGGCCTTTACACATGCTTCTCCATGTCTACCTGTTGAACCAGGTTCCTCATTCTTATCCTGCTCTTAATTACTTTTCCAAAGAATAACATATATAACTATCAATGACTGTCACAGCGCTACAGCCACCATCTTTGGTTGCTTTCCCTGCAGAATTAGACGGTCTGTGGTTTAGGCTGGTTTCTCCCGTCTCCTGGCATATACATGGTATCCGGGAGGCTGTGGAGGTACGATTCTTAGTGGCTGAATGAGTTCGTAATAGGAAGAAGGCCGGGGCTGAGGATTAAGCCAGAAGGCTTCACTTGAAGTCTCACAGAGGAGCCGCATGGGCTAAGTGTGAGGTGGCACAGGAAATGTCATGAGGCTGTGGAGATGATGGAGTAGGACTGGGGGGAAGGCTGGGGACGAAGCTCTTGGTGACTGGCAGGCTGTCTCATTCCCCTGGGCACAGTGCCATCCTGAGCTGAGAGCAGAGGCTGCCTGGCTGGTCAAGCCCGCCCTCCTGACTCTGCCCAGCCCTATGACTCCCAGGGTGCCGCGGTCGGATATGCAAATGTGCATCTCAATATGCAAATCCCAGGTGCACTCTCCCGGCCTCCTGCTTTCTAGATACTCCCCTGTCCTTAGGCTGTGCCCCCCGGGGGGTCAGTGAGGCTTGGAGGTTTGGGAAATGGCACAGCCAGACCCCCAGTGGTAGGATCACCCTACCAGAGCCTGGAAGGACTGATACAAAGGGCTTGGAGGATGTAGACAGGGACCACGGCATAGAAAGGGATGAAGGTGAGCACAGCCGCTCCTCCAAATCCTTTCTGCCTCCGCAGGGCCACTAGCACCAAACCTCTTTCCTAAAAAAGCCAAGTGACTGCTCAGTTTGATCAGAGTTCAAGTACGGACTTAGATTCCCAAGGGAAACAGAGGCAGATGTGGGCAGTGTGTGGATGTGAGTAGGGCCAGGACCGGGGCTGGGCCCAGGGATGGATTAGGTGTACAGATGTGGACACTCCTCAGTCATGACCCAAACATGAACACATAACTCTGGGTAGTGGCTCACTGAAGAACTGGTTCTCCTGGACCAGGGGCGGGACCAGAGGGCCTGAGAGGCCCCCAGCACTGATGCATGACTTAGAGCTGGCCCACGACGCCCACCCACACTGGAAGCCAAGTCCTCACTGCTGGGGAACCCCTTACCTTGCTCAACCCCAAGGCTTGCAACGCAGCTCCCTGAGGCCCCATCCCCTAGGACACATGCTATCAAATAAGGTCACTCCCTGCTTAAAATTCACAGGGCTTAAAATGGCACCGTCCCTAGGATCATCCGGCATCTGCTTTTCCAAAAAGTCAGCTTGGAGGGAAGTTTATGAGGGTGACACACCAGCCACAGGCGGGACTTCTGCCCTGACTTTGAACACGTCTGGCGATGGGACCAAAGTCTTAGCATGCTCCGTGGCACCGTGGCACGGTTCTCAGTCCAGCACCCTTTCCCGGCCGCCCTTTGCCCCTTGCCCTTCCCCTGTCCTGTGTTGTGACACCTCCCGCCATGCTGTTCCAAGACAATTTCATTCTTGTCATCTGAGCATCATCTCTGCAGAGAGCGAGACCTCCCTAGTCTCCTGCCCGGTCGCACCAGCTCACCGCCTGCCTGGCTGTGTCTCCTCACAGCTCTGGCCATCACCTGAAAGGTTTACTGGTTGATGTGATTTTTGTCTCTATACCGCCTGGAAGCCAGCAGAACCAAGCATCTGGCCTGGGCAGTTCACAGTCATTTCCCCAAAGTCAAGCACAGACTCCGAGACAGGATGCCGACACACTGAGACCCCAGAATGTCAGTGTGGGAAGGCCCTTCCCAGGTCTTCCTGTCCCTCCCACTCAACTGACAGATTTGGGCCAACAAGACAGAGAATTTGTTCAAGGCCAGCCGGAGAAAGGGGTTCTCCACTGTACCAGTCACCTTTCAGGTGATGGGAAAGCTCCAGGGGTCCAGGTCACGTGCTCTGGCGGGGCTGCAGCAGCCTGACCGGCGTCTTTGTCCACAGCCCATCACCAGACGTGTCCAGAGTCAGGGCAGAAGTCCTACCTGTGGCTGGGTGTGTCATCCTAATAAATTTCCGTGCAAGCTGACTTTCTGGAAAACCAGATGCCAATGATTTGCCCTGCCCTCTCTGGCTCGGGAGCATTTTTTAGGATAGGCATGACTTCCAATGCAATCTCCGCGCAGAGCGACCAGGCGACCTTTTCCCAAGACCGACGACCTAAGTAGGGCCCTGCTCCAGGAGGGAGTTTCTCAGAAGGTCCGCGTTTCCAGCCTTGACCACAGCCAGGTGGCCGCAAGGGGGCGCCTCTGAGCAGCTCGTAATCCTTTGCTTTTGCTCCAAAGTGGAAAAAAATTTTGAGGAAATGAGTTAAATTCTTAGGCTAGGATCTGCAGATGAGAGATTTCCAAAAACATCTCGTGCTGCACAGTGACCTGGGAATTCTCTTTTTCTGGAGACACAGATACAGAAAGTGACAATCTAACCCGTGGCATAGCCAAAGACGGTCCCTTGACTCACATAGGCATCCGCTGCCTCAGAGGGAGGAGTTTGACCCAACAGGGAGAAGGTTCTGGGGGATAATGACGGGCAGTTTTCCAGCCCCAGGAGCAGTGGCTGCCCCAAACATCTGCAGAGCAGGGTCTCTCCGGCAGCAGCTCAGTGGGGAGGGGTGCTCAGATCTGGAGTTTTCCTGGAGGTGCGCTTTACAGAGTGCTGCTTTCTTAGATGCTGGCAGCCTGGTACTAGGCAGCTGGGGGACCCCACTGACTGGAGAAGGGACATTGACAATTGTCCAAAGTGGACCAAGAGACCCTGCCCAATCTAACGAAGCACCTGGCCATGTGGGGGTGGGTGTCTTGGGACAACCCGTATGGGTAGAGGGACGGTCACCCCATCATTGTCCAAAGACACCGTGCCTTTGGCCAGAGAGAGGCTGTGTCTGTGGTTTGGTCAGGCACTAGAAAGCTATGGAAAGAGAAGTTATGGATGGCTGAATTGAGGGCCACATGAATCTCTTTTGTTTTGTTTTGAGACAAGGTCTTGCTCTTTAGTTCAGGCTGAACTAAAGTTTAGTTCCTATGTAGCTCAGGTCAGCCTCAAATTTTCAGTGATCCTTCTGCCTCAGCCTCCCAAATTCTAGGGTCACAAGCGTGAGCCCCCATGAAGGGACTTCTCTGTTTAGAGGGCTGCGTGGCTAGAAGGGAGAAAATCAGACTCTAGACGGAGACAGGAAAGCGGGAAGGGTGGGCAACCCCAGCATCTCAATTGCATCCCCCAATAAAAAGTATCGTTTTTCAGTTCCCCAAATAGCTCAGTCAGCGGGCCTCAGACAGACACACAGGCTGCGGGATCCACGCCAACCCGGCGTCCAGGGTGGGGAGGCAGCGTGCTCGGGAGGCCTCCTGCCAGCCTGGAGACAGCTGTGCCTTTCGGTCCCTCATTTTGCCCAAACTCACCCTAGAGCTCCGCCCACACACCAGAGGGCCGGGGGTGAGACTTCTATGTCCAGGAATAGAACTGGATTTTAGAGGGACACTAAAAACTATCACGTCCTGAAGTCAGATCTGAGGCTTTGCAAAACGCCAGGTGTTTGCCCTGCTAGTCCCACGTTCGGGTCCTTTGCCTCCTAATGCCAGGCTGCAGGTGGGCAAGAGGCAAATACAGGGCTCAGCGGGGCGGGGGTGAGCTAGGGCGCTGCTGGTCTCCAGAACACACAAGTGATGGACTCGCTGCTCCTGCCTTCCCGGCACCTCCACACACACACGCACATGCACACACACACACATACACACACACACACGCACACACACACACGCAACACATACACCAGAACAGAAAAATGGAACAGGAGCAAGCTTATGTCAGCTTTTACTGAAGTCACTGTTTGAAGGCAAAAAGGAAAAAAAACGAGGTGAGAATAGGGTAGGACAAGGCTGGACAGAGACCACATCCACGCAGAGGCCAGAGGGCGCGGCCCAGGAACCTTAGCTGGACGTCCAGGAGAGCTGGGCTTGGGTACCTTAAAGGTTCTAAGGGCAAAGGGGACCTGCTGGGTCCAGGCTCACGGCCCTCCTTGCCCAGTCCCAGGCTCTTCTGCAGAGGGAAGCTGGGTTGGGTGGTCCTCGGCTTGGAGGGCGGGAGACTCAGCATGACATGGAAGGGATGGGGAGGACTGGAGGACAGCAGGGCTGGGCTGGGCATCCCAACGGGAGGAGGTGGATTCCCACAAGAGGCTGGAACCCGAGGCTGCCCAAAGCGGGGCAGAGATGTGGGGGCTCCTTCCTCTTTCCAGCGGTCTACTGTGCATATGACCTCAGCCATGGCTTTCGCCTGGGATACTGCTGGGCCGGTCCCCCACAGCTCGGGCACAGCTAGACAGCTTGGTTGGGAAAAGTCCCCACAGGTGGAGAGGAAGACCTAGGCGGAGGGTAGGGAGGAGGAAGCATCTGGTACGCTGGCTTTCTTCGTGCCTGGCCCCTCGGTCTGCGGCAGAGGTCAGATGGACACGCTGTTCTCGATGAGGGGAGGGTCCAGGTAGGTGTAAGGCAGTTCCAGGCCCTGGTTCCGCTCCCGGATGTCCCTGGAGATCTGGGCCAATCTGTTCTGGAAGGCGGCGATGCTGCGCTGTGGCGCCTCCTCCGTGAAGTGTTGGTCTGGGTAGGTGCCCAGAGGCCTCTGGGGGAAACCAGATGGGAGATGGTCAGGATGGGGTTCACAGGGGATGGAGAATCGGGAAGTACCATGGTTGGCAACAAAACACAGTCAAGGTGGCCGTGAAAGGCACAGCCGGATCACAGCCACTAAAATCACACCCGCAAGCTACCATTCCATGCAGTCTGACGGGGAGCGAGCCCCCAGCGTCCAAAGCCACACAACACAGAAGAATGTGGCTGTGAAAGGGACCGTCCCACTCTACAGCACGGCCAGCCACAGTCAACACAATTAACTCCAGCTGACAGCACCCTGTGCCCAGGCCTGTTCCTCCCTCCCCATCCCATCACACGGCCACTCCGCCGGAGGGCACAGGCTCTGTCCTGGCCAGCACAGCCCTTCCTGTGTAACCTTCCTGGATGCAGCTGTTATCAAGACTGGTAACCTGTTTTGTTCGAGACAAGGGCTTACTCTGTAGCCCAGGCTGGGATGGAACTCACAGCCATCCTCCTGCCTCAGCCTCCCAAGTGCTAGGCTTACAGGCATGTGCCACCTTGCTCAGCTGGACTGCTGATGTTTTAAAAATTTATGTCATGTTTTATCAGATTGGCAAAGCCCTTTAGAACAGTATTTCATAACTGCAGTTCCTGCCCCTGGTTTTTATAAATGCCTTTTTTCCTCCTCCACAGTGCTGAGAACAGAAGCCAGGGTTTCACACATGCTGGGCAATTGTCCTGCTGTCCCACTGAGCTGCACCCCCAGCCCCAGTGCCTTAGGGGTTGTCATTTACACTGAGTTTTTATTAGTAATGACTGTTCATACCGACCAAGTGCTTCTCCAGCGTGTACCAAGATGATTACACGGCATCTTTCCTTATTGGTGTAATAAATTATATGGCGAGATTTCACAAGTTTGAGCTGACCTTTCATTTCTAGACAACACTTCTTCATGGCACATTATTGTCTTACAACATTCGCCTTCACTGGCTGATTTATTTATTTCTCTACATTTTTTGTTTTTGCAGCAAGAGGGACTGAATCCAGGGCCTCGACACTGAGATACGGCCCCAGGAGACAGGCTCTTGTGAAGTTGCTCAATTTCTCAGGATAAACTCAGACTTGCAATCCTCCTGCCTCAGCCTCCCAGAGTTCCGGGATGACAGCCATGCACCTCCACGCCTGACTCCATTTTCTTAGTAACAGCTCACAAATAAGCCTGACCCGTACACCAAACCCTTAAGACAGATACTCTTTATCATTCTCACTTTATAAATAACGAAAACAAAGCAGCCCATTTTGGACCCCTCCTGCCTCCCATTCCCCATGCCTCTGTCCATTCCTTCTCCAATAAGTTTCCCTACTCTTAGCCTCCGTTGTTCCCTAGAATTTATTCTTCAACTTAGGGGACACGTGCACTTGTCTAGCTTGACACCTAGCATTTCCTCTATATCATCATGGAGGTTCCATCAAGATACTTAGGAGAGGCTGCCAGACTCCAAGTGACCGTCAGATGGGACCAAAGACAGGCGGGCAGGCTCCTTTCCTAGGATCCCCCAGATCGACCCTGTAAAGGGTCCGTCACTCCTAAACTACAGCCTGACTTCTCCCTGAGGCCTGTTAGGTTAGCGCTCTGGAGAAAGCCCTTGACTGAAGTTCCCCTACCCTGACCCTTCTCTGCTTGAAGCAGCCAGATGGAAATTAGGGCCCTGCCCGGCTCACTGCAGTTAGGGTTACATTTTCAGAGGAGGGAATATCGTGGACAGCTCAATTAGGCAGGAATGGCAGCAGGCAGTGGCACAGGGCTGGGCCCTGGAGGGAGTCGTGTGGAAGATGAAGCTCCATCAGGACCCGGCTGGGGGCGCATCTGAAGAGCAAAGTCACCATGGCTAGGTTTACACACTTCCCTGAGGGACGGACGGAGGGCGAGCTTATTGGTGTCTGGTGTCACCCTTTTGAGGCTCCCCATCATCTCAGTAGGGTGGGCCATCCTCTCCCACCCACTAATGCCGAGACTAAAACCACTAAGACTAAAGACAGGAATAAGACTACAGGCTGTCAACCAAGGTTAAGATGTCACTCATGCACCCTCGCTAGCATCAGACCAATATTACCTAAACAGCTGTGCCGGCAATCTTATTGGCTGATCAGAATTTTGACCCACGTTGTACCTGTCTTGTGATTTTGCTCTATAAAACTCCCTTTGAGAGGTGGGCTCACTGGCAACCCATTCTGGGTCCCTCCTGTCTCTCAGGAGCTAGTCCTCAGCCCCATTCCCCCATTCACATTCCTGAGTCCTTTTTCCCTACTCTTAAAACCAACAGGCCAGGAATGGTGGTGGGCCCTCCTGTAATCCCAGAACTCAGGAGGCTGAGGCAGGTGGATCATTGCACGAGTTCAAGTCCAACCTGGTCTACAAAGTGAACCCAAGGCCAGCCTGAACCGCATTGAGACCCTGTCTCAAAGAGACAAAACGAAAAAACAAAAGATGAAAATGAGACCAAATTACATGTCCACGGTCACATGGGGGCGGGGGTGCAGATCTGGACTGAGGCCCTCGCTGAGCCCACCGCCCCTCTTTAGACCACTGCCAGCACTGGACTCTGCACTCTGCAACCCAATAAAATGCTTCCGGAAGCTTCCACCCCTGCCTCGGCTCTCAGAGAGCCTGGAGGACTCAGGAGTCCCTTGTTCCTTATGTTTCACCATAATCTTTTACATTTATGTTGGTTTCCATCCCCCTGAGTTTCAGGTGTTTACGTTTTCCTGGAAAGATCTTCATTTCATCCAGATTTCCAAATTTTCATGCATTAAACTGTAAGCGGTATTTTCTTATGATTCCATATCCGTCTGTGTTTGTGGCTCTACGCCCCCTCCTGTTCCTACTGTTGCATATTTTTTCCTTGATTAGGGTTGCCTATAGTTTTTTTTTATAATATGGGTCTTTTCTAAAATCCAGTTCTTATGAGATTCATATCTAGTTCCTAAAATCACAGTGAGGCCATCAAAGAACAAAACAGGGAGGTGTCACAGGTGATTCAAAGCCTGCTTCCTAGCTATGGCATGCTGGGAAACTCCTTAATCTCTCTGAACCCCAGTTTCTCCCCCTGTAAATGAAGCTACCGTGTATTGAACACTTGTCTGCCGGCACTATGCCAAGACTTTAAATATACCGATTTCTATTTTTAAATAGCATGCGCAGAGAACCTGATTTAATAACAGATAGGAGGGACCCTGAGTGACAGCTGCCGTGGCTGTTGTTAAACCTCTCACTGGCTTTTGAGGAGGGAACTCGCCACCCTCATCCTCTTGCCCATTCATCCCCGTGGGTATAGAAAGGGGCAGGACTGGGGGCTGGGGATTTAGCTCAGCGGCATAAGCGCCTGCCTTGCAAGCAGGCAGTCGTGAGTTCGATCCCCGGTACCGATAAAAAGGAAAAAGACAAAAAAAAGAAAAAAGTTCCTTCCCTTCCCAGGATGTAGGATGGAGGTAGAATTTCCTAGGAAGGTCAGATACTGTGACACAGTTGTAATCCAAGCACTCTGGGAGGCTGAACCCAGAGCATCAAAAGTTTGAGCCCAGACTAGGCAGCTAACCAACTTAGTGAGACCTTGTCCCAGTATTAAAAAAATTATAAAAGGGCCAGGGGTATAGCTCACTGTGAAGACCCTGGGTTCAGTCCCCATCCCACAAAAATAAAATAAAATCATATTGTTATGGGTTAAGAACTGGTGGTCAACTTAACGCCAGCTGGATTACATCAGCATGGCACTGAGCGAGGATGCTCCACCTGAGGAAAGTTGCCAGGATAAACAGGTGGAGAAGGGAGGTGTGGAGGCCTTGAGGCGTTAACGCGTTGTTACATGGAGGCCTTGTGGGTTCTCCCACGGGTTGCTGTCTGAGCCACTGGTTCTCCTGGAGAAGCTCTGGTCCTCACACTGAGCATTGCTTTCTGGCTCAGGAGGGGAACACAAGTGCTGGTTGGTCTCCAAGATGAACTCTCTGCTTCCTGGCATGTACCCGACTTTGCTTGTTATCGGAGGAGCCCTGGGACTCCGTGTCGCTGAGGACAGCTATGGTGCTTTCAGGACAGCCCTGGTCTTTGTTGTGAGTGTGACTTCTCGGCTCCAGCGTAGAACCCTCATCCCACCAGCACAGCTCCTTCACCCCGCTGACCCTGGGCCTTCCCAGCACAAATCCGTAAAAGAGACTGGTGTGAGTCCTTCTTGTGGGCTCTGGGCCTCCAGTTGGACTCGTGGGAGGCATTGTCATGAACTCTGGGTTTTTAATCTGAACTCATGTGGGACACTGCTGTAGGATTTAGGCTTGTGACTAAATATTCTATGTCTTTGGTGTTGCGGATAGATTTCCTGCCTTTTCTTGTGTCAACTCCCAGTAACCATTATAAAAATAATATTATAAACCCCATGTCCTGATTCTAACTGTTCTCCCCACAATCCCTGACTACAACACACATAAAAAACTTTTTCTAAGTCAAGCATGGTAATCCTAGCTACTCAGGAGGCTGAGGCAGGAGGATCACTTGGGCCAAGAAGCTTGAGGCCAGCCTGGAGAACATAATGGGGGCCCCTCACCTCCAAAACAACAAAACATAAACAAGTTGCTAGGAAGATAAGACATTCGCAATCTCTCTAGCCCCAGATGGAGCCAGGCATGAGCAGTGAGTGTGCTCACACATCAGATAACCATGACCAAGTCTGGGGGCAGAGGCGGACTGGCCCTGTAAGATGTGACTGGCTGAGACGTGGTGGTCCAAGCACTGCTCCCTTGGCCCGGACTAACGCCTCCTGCCTCCCATTTCCAAAGTGCCCTTCTCACCCACTCGCACAGGCCCAGGGACACGCTTGCCCTAACAATTCAGCCATGTCGCCTGTGGCCTAAAACTCCTGAGCGCCTCCCCACTGTCCTCCGGGTGCAGACCCTGCAGACACAGCCCCCCCTTCCGCTGCACCTGCATGGCACTGCCCTGAACCATGCTGAGCGACTCCCCACCCCGCCCCTTCTGGCTGTGCCCGTCTTTCTGCAGAGACACCAGCCCTGCCCGCCTTTGCCCAACTCCTCCTTGTCCTCAAATTTCAGCTCAGATGTCATTTCCTCCAAGAAGACTTCTAGGGTTCTCCCAGCCCTCGGTGGGTTCTGTGGGGCCCATTCTTACCTCTGTCCCCAGATGTAAGCTCATGGCTGCTCATACCCAGTGTCTGACACACCACAGGTGCTCAGGAAACACGTGTTGAACGGAGAAATTACCCTACAGGTACTTCTGTGGGGCCCTTCATCGTTTATCTACATCTTCCCTAGAAGACTGTAAACTTCTTGAAGGCAGGATGATTTCACTCAACTGTCCAGGGCTGTGCTGACACCAAAAATGTTTGCTAAATGTTTGGGTGGATGCATGGATGGGTCAATGAACAGATGGATGGATGAATGGACAAATGGATGGGTGGATGGTTAAACCTGTGAACTGGATGGAAGTTGTGATCCATTCATGCAATGGATATTTCCTTCAACATATGTCTTTGGGGTCAAGCATTATTCCTTGAAGAAATTAAAAAACCCAAGTGGCTCAGCAGTGGCCAGAAATTCTGGCAGTGAGTCCCCAGCTTCCCATGAAACAGCCACCATCACCAGCCCCAAAGCCCAGCCCCTGAAAAATCCATCCCTAATTTCCACCTGCGCATACACACCTGGTCCTTGGGCTCCTGGCTGACCAGCCAGAAGAGGAGAAGGTTGTTGCAGGTGGTGTTCACTTCCGGCAGGGTTTCCAAGTAACTCTGCAGGGTCGTGGTCCCCTTGTTCTGAGGTGGGGGCTGTCTCATGGATGAGGGGGCATTGGGCATCCAGGCCCCGAAGTCGTGCTGCAGAGACCCGACCACATGGTCACCAGAAGGCAAGGACCAGCCCCTCCTCATCACTTCTGACCCCACCTCTCCGATCCCAAGTCTCACGGTTGGGACACAAGGGAATCGTGGAAAGTCCCAGAGTGGAACAGGCGCCCAGCTCAGCCCCTGTCATTCCCCACCCAGCGTTCCAGACTGGGTAGGGTGAGTCATCAGTGAGGGAGGCGCACCCCGAAAGGAGGTAATCCTAGAAAAGGGCCCTGGGCTGGCATGCCTCACAGAACAACCTGATCATCCACCTGACCCGGTACTCACCAAGGCAGGAGCTCAAGATCCTACCGGAAACATAGCTCCAATCTGAGTTTCCACTGCAACCCTGGACCCGGCCCCACCCAGCCATCACTCACCAGGGGCCATCACTCCACCTAGGCACCATTCCAGCCTTAATCCCGACACACCCACGCTTTCAACCGGAATTCTGGCCTCAGATCCACTGCTAAGCCTGACACCTCTGTGGCCTCCAGGTCTTCCCTCTGCAGACTCACCTGCCCACTATTGACAGCCGCGTGCTGGGCAGAGCAGTTAAAGATGATTGCAGTAAGGTACTTCACCAGCTGTCCCGGGGTGCACAGCCTGCTTGGGAATCCTGTGTGGAGAAGCGGGGTGTGGAGGGGAGGTGCTGAATTCCTAAGGGGTGGGGCTAACCGCAGGGGGAGAGTGAGGGAGGGAGAGCTGGACACTACCTATGACTGTCTAAGAGACCAGGGTTGGGATGGAGTCACAGGTGGCCTCTGAAGGGGGCCTAAGAGGTGAATCCTGCAACGGGACCAGCCGGGATTCAGGACGGAGCCATTCAGGAAGCACCAAGCTGCCTCTGCCTGACCGCCAAGGTTTTATCTGCAGCCCATATTAGCATTTAATGACTGAATTCTACCAAATGTATCAAGATCTATCCAAGCACCCAGTAGCAGATCACCCTTTGCCGGGCTTAGCAGGAGAGACAGTGTGGTGATGGGTCAGAAAGAAGCATCAATGCCGGTACTCGCTCTTAGAAGGGACAGAAGGTGGACAGAAACTGCAGGAAGAGAGGCAGGCACAGCAGTCAGAGGGCTCCGAGGTGTGGGGTCAGACTGAGCAGAGAGAGAGGCTGGAGGAGGGGCGAGGCATCTGCCCCGGAGTGGATGGGAATGTCCCCAGTGTTCCATTTATAGCCCACGGTCTACACTTGGAGCTGGGAATAATAAAGTGAAGCAGGAATCGGACTCTCCATGGGATTTTCCTGGAGTTCGTATTATTACTTCCCCTCGGAAAATGGAAGAGAAAGTGAGAAACAGTGGATCACAGATTGGTGGGTATTACCTGTAAATATATGAATCCAAAATAGTTTGAACTAGTAGGAAGCACTGTTGTCGGTCTGACGATGTTCTGATACATGAAATCAGAGACAAGCTGAATACAGGAAGGCAGGAGAAAGGAGGTGCACACCTGTAATCCAACTACAAGGAGGCTGAGGCAGGAGGATGCAAAGCCTGGGTAACCTAGCACGGAAGACCTTGTCTCAAAAGTTTGAAAAAAAGGCCAGGGATTTAGCTCAGCAGCACAAGTGCCTGCCTGGCAAGCATAAGCTCATGAGTTCAATTCCCAGTACCAAAAAAAAAAAAAAAAAATTAAAAAAAATATATAGATATTGATATAGATACAGATCTATAAAGCACTGGGGAGGGTGCAGCTCAGTGCTCCCTGGGTTCAATCCCCAGTGCTACAGAAACAAAACAGGAGAGCTGAACTATCAGAATCAGGTCTACCTTGGGTCTTAGATAGGAAACAAATTCCTCAGTTGGGAGAAGCAGTCAGGATCAGGACTGTTGTGGACTAACAGTGAGTTTGCAAAATCACAAGGAAACGAAGTCCTTAAAAACTCCAAGACAGATCTAGCTGATTAACACTGTAACCTAGAAATCACTCTTGGCATCTCAACCACTGAGACAACCTGAGGTCATGGGCCTCCCCCATCAATCAACACAGAAGGGAGGGCACCACCTGAGAAAAAATGCAGCCCTTAGGTACGCCTTCAGGGCTACAAAAAACACAGGAAACAGCCGGGTGAGGGGGTGCGTGCCTGTAATCTCAGCACTTAGGAGGCTGAGGCAGGAGGGTTTTTTGTAAATTCAAGACCAGCCTGGGCTACAAAGTGGGAGCTGGGAGAGAAAGCACGGGTATCCGAGCCTGTATTGGCTGTGAAGGTGACCAGGGACGCCTGCTAATCTTGCTAAGTCCAGGCATGGAGATGGGGCTCGGAGGTAGGCATTTGCCTAGAATGGGCAAGACCCTGGGTCCTCTCCCAAAACCTCAATGTTAAACCTCCTGGGTGGGTTATGTTACATTTCCTACTGTCCAGGAGACTTGATATCTATTTAAAAGCAAGGTGAAGCTCTGAGTCCCCCACAATTAGGACCAAAGTAGCTCCAGACCTGAGTTGCCCCCCCCTCCTCTGTCTGCGCCCAGAAGCACTAAGTCCATTGAAATCTTTGTTTCTGTTGAGGGGACCCCCAGACCAGGACGGGGGACCCGGACAGCGGACATTTAAAACCACTTTAACCTAAATAGGACCAGAAGTCACTCTATAAAATAACTTGTAATTTTCCTGTGCTGGTCTTAAAGGCCAGAGTGAGGTAACCAAAATGTAAAGTCCTCCAGAGCTGGAAAAGTGTGAGATTTCAGAGTCTGGAAATCAACTCCAGATGAAGAACAGGAGGGGAGTCATTGCATTAGGGAGGAGGAGAAAGAGGCATCAGACAGCCGGGACAAACCAAGAGCTGCGGCAGGGAGAAGCAGGCCATATCCTCCCTGAGCAGAGGGCGGCCAGAGAAAGGTGGTCCAGGGCATCTGCCCGGCACTGAGCTGAAGGAGGGAAGGCTGGGAGAGGCTCCAGAGAGGACAGCTCAAGGGGCCTCTCGGCCAGTGTCAGATGACAGGGAACAGCAAAGGCTGGGTGAAAGGCATAGTCAAGAGTCTGGTAGCAGCAGCATCCGCTCTAAGGTGTGAAGAGGCTGGGGACCAGAGGGACCACTTGGCAGAACAGGCACAAGAGGGCACGAGAGGAGTTTCCAGAATCCTTAGAAGTCAGAGATGCCTTCTGCCACATGCTGCATATTGACAGAGCTCAATAAACTGGGGCGAAGGGGCAGCTTTGTGTATGCATAGATGGGCTGGGGGACCCTATTGGAAAGCAAGTGTTTGGGGGGGGAATTGAAGCTGGGATCCCGCTTTTGCAGCCTCTCCTGTTCCTAATTCCTCATCTCTAAGTGGGACAGTAATAGCAAAGTCAAAATATAATAATAAGAAGAACTGATTCAAAGATGAGCAGAGAATACAGTTACTAATCCAGGGTGGGGGTGAGGCAGGGCTCAGGGAGGGCAGTGCCAGAGAGGGACAGATACCTGAGCTCTCCCTGCCCAGGAACGCCTGAGTGAAAATCTCGCCGACCCAAGCTTGCAGCTCCAAGTCCTGCCGCACGGATTCATCACTGGGATAATAGTAGCCCACGATTTCGGAGACAAAGCTGCAGGAAAGAGATGCTGGTGGCCCTGGAGGAGCCTCAGGCCCACTACCACTTAGGCTGGGGAGAGGCAGAGAGCTCGAGTCCACTGAGTCCATAGCGATTCAGTGGGGACTCCTTTTCCAGTTGGAACCTGAGTATACAGGCTCCCCTGAATTCCCACCCCCCACCCCAATCAAGAGGGCTCTGGGCCTGGGGGTGGGGGGAGGAATCCACCAGGAAGAGTCTACCTCATGCTGCGTCCTCCTCTCCTCTTGCAGGCGCTCAGCAGCCCTGAGGAGAGAGCCCTATCTGCCTGCCTGCCTGCCTGGAGTCGCCAGCCAACCTTAGCTGATGGACAGCCCATCCCTTCTCTCCTCCTCCACTGTATGTGCATGTACCAGTCCCTCTGTAGCCCACAGCTACTGGCCATTTCGCAGGGGACCCCAACTCCAAATCCTACCCTCGGGCAGTCCCTATGCTGGCTGGAGTCTGGGCACACCTGGGATCCCCAGCCCCAAGAACCCCGGCTGGCATGGGCACAGCCCTGCTGGGCTCACACCTCTCAATGGCTGCCCAGATCTTCAGGCCATCATCTCGGTAGTAGTAGTTGGGAATACTTAGGACACCACGGGCCCGCAGGCTATCCGGAAGGCAGAAATTGGTGTAGGTGAAGTGGGCCAGACCCGTCCTCATGAGGTAGAGGAGGCCTCGCCTCCCGATGGATGTGACCTGTAGGCACAGCACAACTCAGCCCCGGGCTGGCCGGACCTCCACCCAGGGCCTGGGGCAGAGCCAGAAGGGCCATTTCCAAAGAAGAGAGGCTGCACCTGGTCCACGAGGCCCTCTGGGTTGAGCAGCGTGGCCCTGGCGATGGTGTTCACCTGCAGCGTGTAGCGAGTGTGGGGAAGCAGGAGCTGCCAACAGAACGCGGTCAGGTGAGTCCACAGTCCAGCAACAGGGCCGCTCGGGCCCCCCCCCCACTTTGGTCCCGTCCCTGCGTGGCACCAACCTTGAAGACAGGATGGCAGAGCGGCAGCTGACGCAGGGTGGCCATGGAGAAGGCCTCGCACAGCAAATGCGTGCACAAAAAGTGCGTGTTGTTCTCGTGTATCAAGAACTCCGAGTTGCGCACCCATGTCTTGGCCAGCAGCCAGTCCCACTCGGAGTCGGTGGGCAGAAAGATGGGGCTCTCGGGCCCGGGGGTCTGGCTGAGCTGCGAGCCAGAGTAAAAGGAGGTGGGGCTAAGGCTTTGGCGCCCGGACCCCGCCCCGAAGCCCCGCCCCCCGAAGCCCCGCCCCCGGCTCACCTGGATGGCCAGCGGCAGCAGCGCCCCCTGGGGGTTGAGCCACAGCAGGCAGAGCGGGGCGGCCACGTATTGCTGGCGGCCGTTTAAACAGTGGACCGGGGCGTCGGCCAGCATCCAGTAGTCGGCCAGGAAGATGTTGCCCCTCTGGAAAAGGCGAGCAGAGGCTTAGCTGCCCTTCGCACCCGCGCTCCGCTTCCCTCTCAGTTCTGCGCCACAGGAAGGAGCCAAGGTCCCCAGTGCGGCCTCAGCAATTCTCGATGCCCGGGCTAAGAGCCAACGCTGGGTACCTCACCCTTCCCAGAAGGTGCAGCATGAGGTCCGGATGAGTCTGTCTCCAGCGCCTTATGCAACCCCTCACCTGATCTGCATCCCCGACAAGCCAGCATCCAGGACAAGCCAGCGTCCTGGTCCTTCCACACCTGGTCCTTCCTACGTCCCCTTTCCCTTTGAGATTTAACCTCAGTATATTCAATAACAACAAAATCAACACCCAGCAACAACTAACTACCCTGCAAAAAAGGTCTGAGGCATGGCTGCCCCGGAGAGAGAGGGTCATCACCTGCCCCCATGCCCTCTGAGCTCCTAGGCCTGCATGACCGTCCCAGCTACATGTGGAGGCTCTTCCATTGGCCTATTTTCTGGGCCTCAGAAGAGGCCTCAGACCGTCCCAAGCCCCATCTGGCCCTGGTCCGGCTCCTCAGTTGGAAAGGTGCAGGAACAGGCTGCCCAGGGGCTAAGGCCCCAGGCCTGGGCCATTCTTCCCTTCCCCGAATTCATCCCTCATCCATGATGGCCACCCAGTTGCCTCCCTCCTATCAAGCCCCCTACGGAGGTCCTCACCCACCTCTAGCTCTGTCTGCAGACAGGTGTCTGGTCCCAGCAAGGGGGCCACCATGTCATTGGTGACGGGCAGCTTGCTTGGCAAGCTGGAGAGGCAATGGAGCATGACAGGGTTGACGCCATTCAGGTACTGGTACCCGAAGAAGTTGTCCTCACACCAGTGCTCTGTGACATACTCTAAGGAGCAAGAGAGGGGACTAGCAGGTCTGGAAATTACTTCCCTAGAGTCTGGTCCTGTCCAGCCCTTTGCTCATCGCTGTGGCTTAGGTTTCCTCCACTATCTTTATGAGGTAGGTACATCTTTGACTGAATGCTGAATACCAAGGTTTGACAGATGGGGTCACTTGCTTACTTGAATGGCAGAGCAAAGATTTGAACCTAAGCCCTTTTGACCTCAAAGCCCAGAACGTCTGATGCTAGGAACAGGGAAGTGAGTTGTGTGCTCCTCATCAGGATTCTCATTAACACGTTCTTACCCTCCCCATCAGAGGTGGCACCTGAGTTCCCATGGGGACGCTGGAACATGCCACCAGTGAAAGCAGAGCATCTCCCCCCAAACCCAGAAGGCTCCCAGGGAAGATTGGGACTGGAGGAAGGGGTCTGGCCTGAGGCAAGGTGAAGGACAGATGTCCCGCGACTGATAGATGCCCCGCACCTATAGTGAAGGTCTTGTGACACCAGAAGATATTCCGAATGTCGTCCAGCTTCTTCCAGGACCCCTTGCGGTCCAGCAGCCCCCGAATCTTCATGCCCAAGGACCTGAGGGGGAGGGGAAGGTGAGAACGGGCCTGGGGCTGGTGAAGCCACTGTGCCCCAAGCTGGAGAGAACTGCAGGGCGTCCCTGCAGCAGAGGCGCCTAAGAAGCCCCGTGGGAAGTAAGCCTAGAATTCCAGAGAGGCCGACAGAGTTTCAGGTGAAATACAGCCATTGCAGGTGAAGTGGCCAGCGCCCCTGGCCTTGGATGCAGAAAAGCCACCCTCACTGAGGTTTTGGTCACTTTATCCAAGGGTCATTCTTGTCATAGACCTTCACCCCCCCCCACCCCTGCCTGCAAAGCAAGACCCCAACTGTGAAATCTGGATCGCCATGAATTTCACCCTCTCCACTAGACAAGGCCTGCCTTTCTAATGTCACCAGGTGTAGACTTTGTACACTTCTGGGCCGGTGAAAGCAGAGTTGGCAAGAGGGATAGGTCTTCTTTGCAGATGTTTATACCGCTTGGGTTTGTTTTAGTTTTTTATTTTTTTTTTGGTACCAGGGATCAAACTCAGGACCTAGTGCTTGCCAGACAGGCGCTTATGCCACTGAGCTAAATCCCCGGCCCCGAATTCTGTTTTGTTTTTTTCAGTGAATATCATTTTACAATGGAGGAAGTGACTGAAATTAAATTGGCTTTCCCTCGCTTCCAGGGCTCTGTTCCAGCCAGTTCTTACCCGGTAAGCCATCTCCTACGGGACACGGTCTCTCTGTTCTTAGATACACCTAAGATGTAGACTCCTGAACGAAGCCGTGGTGGCCTCCTCCAAAACACACAGCTCAGACCTTTCCCCGTATGACACTGTACACAGAGGACACATATACCATCTCCACTAGGCTGCAAGCTTCCCAGATCTGTGCGCCCCAACACACCCTACTCCTAATAACCACTCACCAAAGAGCAGACAAGGGAGCCCAGAACAGGCAGCTTGCCGCAATCGGGCAGTAAGACAGGGTATGTGAAGGCGCTGAATGTGCCCTAAAGACTGAGGAGAGCTGGGGAAGGCAGAGGGCACGTGGTGGGGGCCAGAGACCTGACAGGCACAGGGTCTAAGCTCGCCTAGATCACAGCGTGCTCGGTCACTCAGTGTACACACGTTCCCTCAGCGCCGATGAATCAAAACCCAGGAGAGAGACAGACTGGCCAGGAACTCAGCCACAACACAGAGGCCTAGGAGGCACTTTGCAAATGTCCTTTAGAACGCCGAGCAGTCACCCCACCCTCAACTCGGAGCCACACTGGTGGTCCCTGTGTTCTTCTAAGCTCTTTTCTGACTACCCTTCCACAGCCATCTGGGAGCCACTTAAGGGTGCTCTCTACTAACTCAGATGCTCTTCTGACCTTTCAGCCCTGTTAGGGCCTCATGACCTGTTCTTTTTCTGAAGCCTGGGCCTCCTGTGGCCACCTGAGATGCTCTTGAACTGTTGCTTACCGCCCATACCCACTCCCTGTCCTGCTTATCCTCAGAAAGAATCATTCTAAGAACAGAAGTTGAGTGGGGCATGATGGCACACGCCTGTCATCCCAGCACTCTGGAGGCTGAGGCAAGAGTATCACCCTGGGTTTGAGGCCAGCCTGGGCTACATAAGTGTGGTCAAGGCCAGCCTGGGCTACATAAGTGTGGTCAAGGCCAGCCTTTACTACACAGTGAGTAGTAAAGTCATCCAAAAAAAAAAGCAAAAACAAAACAAAAAACACAGAAGTTCAGGCGATGAGGTCCCAGGCCTTGTCCTGGCTTCCTCTGGGTCCTCTGAGCAGCCCCTGCGCAGCTGGCCAGCTGAATCTCCTGTTCCCCACTAAAGCAGCTGGTCAACTGTCCTGTATTTAGACAGTAGGACCTGCCTATTTATCTCTTCTCTCCATGAGAGCTACCATCTAGACCAGCTGACCCCTGTCCTCTCTAGGCACCCCCGGGTACAGAAGGACCCTCCAGGCACGGCACACTTAGAGCCCTGCTGTTTATGATTACACTGTAACCGAGTGCTCTAACAGCTAATTAACTGCACACAGCCTCCTTAGTGAAGATGTAAATTCCTCCCAGCTAAAGGCTATTTTCAAACAGCAGTACTAGGGAGCCCCTGTTGAGAGATTATTTTGTCCTGGGGAGTTATCTCATTTCCCTCCAAGTCTGAGAGGTAGGGATGGATGTTATTTATTATTTAACAAGCTAGGAAACTGTTTAGAGACGGTGAAACTCAAAGGCCTACAGCCAGGAAACGCTGGTTCTAGGACTTGAACCTGCAGCCGTCTGGCTTAACCGAAGACCAGGCCTTTCTGTCTCAGTAGACACTGTGGCACTGTGCGGCGTTGGGGTAGGTGCTCTTCGAGGTGGCGCAAAGTAGGTGGAGGGGAAGAGACCAAGGGACAAGGAGAAGGGAGACTGGGGGACACAAGAGGGAGTCTAGGCGAGTGGGGGGGCAAGCTGCTGCAGAAGGTGCGGTTGCACCCAGGCACAGGCCGTGGGGTGCAGAGAGGGTGTGCTCACGCGGGGATGGCGTTGAAGAGCAGGGAGGCCGTCTTGGTGGCTGAGTAGCGAATGTTGGGCTCCATGTGGAGCAGGGACGGGATGTCAATCTTCATGGGGAACCCGGGCAGGTACCGGTTCCCGGGGCTGGCACGGGGAGGGGAACAGAAAGACAGAAGCCCGTCAGCGGCCCGAGGCCCTCTCTCCATCCCTCCCTTGGGGCCCGCCCTGTGCCAGGTCCTTCCCCTTGCTCCCAGATTTCCCCTGTTCTGCTGCTCATCTGAAACCCCCTTCTCGCCTCGGTGCTCTCCCCAAACTCCACTCCCAGGCCCCTCTTTTCCTGGCACTTGAAAGAAACTGCATTTGTTATGAACCCCAACCCCTCCTTCCCTCCAGGCTGCCCAGTCTCAGCCTCCCATCTGACCTTCCCCTGGCCCTCCTCTCCCTCCTTCCCAAGGCCCGCCTCTCACCTGTCACCCTGGTCTGCACAAGGCATTGTCTTGGTCAAGGTAAATTTCTTGTCTGATTCCATCTCCTCAAAGCTGCTAACATCCACCATGCGAGGGAAGCCAGGGTGGTATATCTTCCAGCTGCCCGGGAGAGAAGCCGGGAGGGCAGAGCAAACTTGAGATAAACACTCTCAGCTGTTATACTTTTGTTTGTTGATAGGGTATTGGGGATTGAACCCAGGGTCTTTGCACTGTCTCAGCACCTTTTTTTCCCCACTGCTGTTTTTTTTTTTTTTCAGTTTTTTTTTAATTTAAAGAAAAACAAAACAGTAAAAGGATACAAGTAATACAGAATTTCAAAAAAAAATAATCAGTAAGCAATCACTAGTTAATAGATTACATATTATCATCTTAGAAATAGTTGATCAAGTTACAAAATTAAGCATACAAAGTGAACATTCAAACAGTGAGACTGCAAACAGTTGTGTTCAGTGATCCAACAAAAACTTAGCAATATGGTCATCTGTCTTACACACCTAAACACACTTGCAGTTGTGTTCTTTAGAGCACTTTCTTTTCCTCTTTTTTTTACAATAACATTTACACATTTTGGGTTTTATTACTCACACAGTTCTTATTACTTTTTTTTTTTTTGGACGAGAATAAAACCAAATGTGACAAAACAAAGCAGTCAGTCAAAACAAAGGATAGACATAGTGCATGATGTAAAAACAGAATACAAGGAAATCAACAATGGTCACCATAATGCTTCTTGTTACCTTAACAAGAACTGCCTACATCATCAGTTATAATAAAAAAATTGAACTAAACAGTACAGAACAAAACCAATAAAACCTAAACATTGGAGACATTACTGAACTTCAAAAGAAGATAACAGGCAAACCAGAATGGGCATCATAGTGAATCTTATTGCCTTCAAAGTAGTTGCCTATACCATCAACCTTGATACTATCAAACAGGACGGAATAGAGTAAAATCAGTCAAAACAAGATGGTGGGAGCAATATAGGACTTCAAATCAAGTCAATAGGAAATCAAAAAAGTTACTATAATATATCTGGCTACTTTTAAAAAAAATTTTCCCTTAATTAAAAAATAATAATAATAAAATTTTTTTAAAAGGGGAAGATTGAGATAAAAGAGGACCTAACAACACAGGTCAGAACAGAACAATTTAAGCAACATAGTGTTTCACCACAAGATAATCCGACTTAATAGTAGTTACCATAGTGTCTCTTTCCTTGAAATCTTTGAGTATAACTTCGTATACTAGCATCAAACATATCAATACAGTGTGGAACCATTCAAGAGGATTCCCTGCTGCTCTTTTCTGAGTCAGGGCCTTCCTAAATTGCCCAAACTGTGCTCCAATTTACAGTCCTCCTGCCCCAGCCTTCATGCTGCTGGACCCAGCCCAAGCTTCAGGTTTTAAAGACATGATTTCAGATTAGAACTCCAGAGACCACCTTTTTATTTTCTAGGTATGCAACGAAGAAATGGATTTTTCTCCATGAATGCACGGGGCTTCACATTAGGATTTGCAGTGGGCGGGGAGTTGAGTCCAGGGCCTTGTGTATGCCACTGAGCTGCACTCCAGCCCTCAGGAGAGCATGTGAGGACATAAATGCCCACACCGGTGCTATGCCAGGCAAGTGCCACGCTGCTGAGTATAGCTACGTTTCCAGCCAGAGATGATGGCCTCTACTGGTTTCTGGGTCCAGACTCAGGGTGGGGCTGGGTTTAAATGGGTCTTAAGCAGGAGTTGGAAACCAAGGTTGGAACTGAATCAGAGTTAGACTAATCCGAGTAAGACCAAGGTCAGAATAGTCACAGGAAAAGAAGGTAAATTAGGCTGCCCTCACCGATAGCATTCCTGTCGGGCCTGGAGCTCACGCTTTCTGTGATCCAGAAGCAGGGGCAGGGTGTCCTGACAAACAGTTCTAGCTGTGGGGAATGAAAAACATTCTTCATAAAAATCCATTTTCAAACCACACCCTCTCCTGCAAACTTTGCCCAAATTGCCCCACCCTTGAGCCCAGTCCCACAACCACCTCCACGTGAGCTGGATCGGGACGGCCTTGTGCTCTTTGTCATTCATCAGGGATTTGAGGTGACTGGACCCTCAAATTTTAATAATCTTCCAACTATTGCCTGTGTACCTTCTATCTAAACAAAAGTCATGCCGATATGTTTTGTATTCCCAGTGTCTTGCATGACACCTGGCACCACGCCCGTAATGTGCACCTGATGAATGACTGGATAAATACATCCTGTAACGTTGTGGATGTGCTGTGATGACAGGCAGGGTTTTACAGCGGAGTCTATGAAGAGCTCGCTGTGGGTCATGGGGTAACCACATGCCTCACCTTGACTTAGAATGTCCATCTCTCACTCACTGAGACTCATCTCAGCGCACAGAGCAGCCCTAAAGTTGCCTCCGTTGGCCAGACAGATCTGGATCCAGAAGACACTGGAGCTCAGCATCCTAGAAATCCCCCCACAAATCCAATAAGGGAGCCTAACTCGTCCCCCAAGAGATTCCATCAATGGTCGAAAAGCCAGAAAAAAGGGGCAGGGCCTCCCAGCTGAATTCTCTAAACATTGAGGAATTCTATTCAGGTCTGATTAGCTTGCAGGTTAATTTCTTTCTGGGCTTCAGAGGAACTCTCTGGGGAAGTGTAGAATTCTCTAGGGAAGTCTGCGGACTGAAGACTGCTTGTGTGAACGTTCATACAAGCACACAGGTGTGTGTATCTACATGTGCCTCTTGAGGAGTAAACACAGACCCCAAAGTCCCTGCGTTTCAGGACTTCAATGACAAACTTTCACAATGCATCTACTTGGGAGCCTCACGTTCCTAAAGCCAACTCTGTTCTCTCTCCTGTGGGCTCTGGGACACCCCATTCCGGATCCCCACAGATTTTTACATACAGTGCAGCTCTCTCCCCCGGCCCACCTGCTCCTGGACGCAGCTCCACGGTGCAGTAGCCCTCAATCCACTGATAGCAGGGAAAGTGGGTGACAGTGCCATCTGGGGCAGTGACAGTGACGTGGCTGCAGTACCAGGGGTCCTTCCGGAAGAAAGCGAAGCGCTCCTTGTGTAGACGCAGCAGCAAGAGTTCGCCCAGCTCTGCTGGGCAGCGCACCTTGTACTTCTGCACCTGAGCAAGCAAGGAGGCAAGCTAGTGAGAGGCAAGGAGCTACTAAGGCCACCTCAGCCCTTGCAAGGTGCGGCACACCTCCGTGTATGCTGACCCTGCAGTGCCTTCGTACGAATGAAAAAAGATAGTCCTTCACTCAAGAGGAAGCAGGAGCTCCGGGGGTGTGTGAGCAGAGTGTCCCTGGATTTCCCTGGCTACTACCTTGGCCAGCGGGGCACCCCTGTGTGGCCACCAAAAAACAGCTGAGCTGTAAGGCGGGATGATTCCTCCAGAGAAGAGGAAACCCAGCATGGACAGGGAAGGGATGAGCTCAAAGCCCAGGTCAGTTATAGGAGGAGCCAGGAAGCCAAAGGAAGTCTGGACCCCTGCCTAGTACCCCATCCTCTTTAGCACCACCTGGGGAGGTTTGTCATCTCAGCAAAGTCAGAGGACACAAAAGGAATGGTGACCAGGTCAGGACGAGCACCCCGGTTTAGCAGGAAAGAGCCTCCTTTCCTTCAGGGTCTCCCAGGAGCTCTTCCCCTCAGTTCCCGCCTCTCTCCTTACACCTAACTTACCGATCCGGTGGCGAAGTCTCTGCCCGCTCTGTCCAGCCGCTGCTTGGGGCTCTCACCACACGTGCCCACCAGTGTGGCAGAGATGTTGTCCAGTGTGCCAGCCTTCAGGTAGGAACCCGTGGTCACACACAGGCGGTAGACTGCCATGATGGGGGGGAAGGACAGTGTCCAGCCACGCCGGCCTGGAGCAGGTGAGCCACTCGGACAGACGGATGGACAGGGTGGGCTGCTGGGCGGGAGCGAGGAGGCCGGGGGGAGGCAGGACCCAGCAGTCTCCGATGCTCTGAGCTCTCTCCCACCGAAGCTCCGGGCGGGCGGGCGGGCCGGCCAGCTGCTTTGGCTCACTCTCCCCACCCAGGCGTGCGCTCCAGCACTTGCTTGCGCACCTCTGGCACAGCCGGTCCCTCCGGCTGACTAACTAGATAAACATCAGAAGTCTGGGTCCACCGGGGAGGGAGGAACAAAACACTGGAACGCAAGCACCAGGAGGTGTCGCCTGTGTGACAGGGACACTGCCTCCCGCCTAGTCCAGCGCTCGCCTGACGCTCCAGGGCCCTAGTCCACCCACTCCCCAGTTTTCCCCCGACCCTTCCTCCTGTCTGTCTCCCAGGCAGAACTGTCCTACGTGAGCCACGCACGTGTGACTCCCGCACACCGCAGCCACACTCAGCCATACATCACAGGTGACTGCAGCCCAGGAAGGTGAGTCGTCCACGCAGCTCAGCGTACGCCAGGAGGGTCCACACATCCAGCCCTCCCCGGAGCTCGGCGTCCGTCCCCTCCCCTCGCACAGGCGACCGCAGCCTCCCCTGGTGACAGACAGACAGGGCCAGCCAGGGGGCAGAGTGGCGCGCTCGGCGCAAAGCGGCGGAGGCCTCACGGAGCATTCTCTGCGTTCCACTCTGTCTGCGCCCGCAGTTCCGTGGGAGGGCGCCCGGGTGTCCGGGTGATCCGAGATTCGGGTCACAGCTGCCAGGGAGCAACCGCCCAGCGTGGGAAGACCGTAGTCCGCAGCGGCCCCGCGCGGCCGGGGCCGACACCGCAAGTCCGCGGCGACTTTGAGCAAGAGGCTGGAGAAAACACAACCGGTCGGGGCCGCCGCGCTGGCTTCTGCAGGCTGCGGACTCCGCCCAGACGCGCTCTCATTGGCGGCTTCCGCGGGCATGCGCATTTATGTATAAAGAACTCTTCTAGAAGGAGGAACGCTGATTTAGAAAGAGCCCGGATAGCTCAGTCGGTAGAGCATCAGACTTTTAATCTGAGGGTCCAGGGTTCAAGTCCCTGTTCGGGCGTCTTCGTTTTTTTGCCCCTTTAAACTCAGCGGTGTTTGGGAAAGTACTTACCTTAAGCTACTTCAAGCAAAGTGATGAGAAAGTACAATAAAAAGTAATGTTTTTTCAGAAGAAAATCGTCTTAGTTCATTTCTGAAGTTGTAAGGAATGACAGGGGGGGTAAGGATTTTTAAACATCACGATCTTGGTTTATCAATGTTTTTGCTATAAACTGACAAATTTTATTGCATACCTTTAAAGGCACAGTTACATCTACATGCCGACTGACCAAATCAAACTAACACCTATCAACTCAAAAATGTATTTGTGGAGAGCATTTGAAATTTACTCTCAGCAACTTTGAAACATATAATCCATAATTCTTACGTGTAGTCGCTATGATGTGTAATAAACATTAAAAGTTATTTCTTCGGTCCACTTGAAGCTTTGTACCCTTTGACAATCATCCACACAGCCATCCGGCTCTCCAGCCTCGAGTAGCCATATTCCACGCTCCGCTTCTGTGTGTCTCATTGCTTTAAATTCCACGAATAAATGAGATCATGTAATATTTGTCTTTCTGTGCCTGCCGTCATTTAGAATAAAAAGATGCTTTAGAGCAGTATTGTGCAAACTGTGTAAGCGAATGCAAACTTTGTAGTAGCTACATCAAGAAGAGTAAAAAACAATTCAGAGAAGTTAATTTTAATAATGTATTTTACCTAACCAAATATCCCAAAATCTTAACTTTCGATCGATATTTTTAAACTATTAATGAAATTTTGTTCTTTTCGTATAGCCTTCAATCTTAGCAGCTGACAGTAATTCAAATTTCAGGGGCTTGGGAGTGGTGTCTACTATATTGAGCACTGTAATTGTTTTAGTTTGGCTAAGTGACAAGGTTGGAGTAACAGACAAAAATAGAATGTCAAGTATTATATAAAGTTTTTCAAAAGCGTGCACGTTGTGGGTTCCATGGTGTAATGGTTAGCACTCTGGACTCTGAATCCAGCGATCCGAGTTCAAATCTCGGTGGAACCTTTGTTTTTCAGGCCATCCATTATAGTAAGATGTATTATTTGTTGCTGTGTGCATATGCTCTCCTTCACCAGCAAAGATTTCAAATCTCAAACCAAAAGCGAACTAGGACACTATTCTTCTTTAACAGTAGAGGTAGTTGTAATCGCTGTAACACTTTGAAGAGAAAATACAGGAAATCATTTCTATGTATTGGAAACTGTACTAATTGTGAGATAATCACAAATGTTATGTTTGAACTTGTTGAAATGGAGATCAGTCACAAAGAGTACTTTCGCAATTTCCTTCACATCTTGGTTGAGGGTACAGATGCAGACCCTATAGTCTTCGGTCTGGAAAACCAAGCAGCAGAACATCGACAGTAAAATTGCTCCTAGGGTCCTCGTAAAACTAAAACTGTAGGAGTAAAAGCTCCCACTTGGCAGCGGTGGGATTCGAACCCACGCCTCCGAAGAGACTGGAGCCTAAATCCAGCGCCTTAGACCGCTCGGCCACGCTACCTGCACGAAAGCAAGGGGTCCCCGTTTTCCTCCTAAGAGAGTAGAAGGCAGAAGCTAAGTTAAAGAATATTGAATCGACTTCTTTTTCCAAGTTCTTCAAATCTGGACTATGGGAAATCATCGACACCCTGGACCACGTGGCAAGAAAAGATGAGCCGGAGAAAACAGACACAACGAAATTTACAACACCACAAGTTTATTTACTGGGGTCACATCTGAGAGCGCAGTGGTCTGCTGAGCTGGAAACGCTCCCCAAACGGGCAGCCAGAACTGTGCACTCTCCCTGGCTCGTCTGCTCTCCCTCCCTGTTTCCGGCACCCTACGCTCCCTCACTCCCACCTGGCTCACGTGCTATGCGCGGGTAATCTCTCATCACCCGCCCAGTCCCAACTGGCCTCGGAAAGCCTAAACTCGCGCTCCTGGCACGCCCCGCCCAATTTTCACGTACACACACTCGCCTACGCTGCCCCTTCACCATGCTACTACCCGTAAGCTGAGAGACTGCGCCACCCGCCAGGTGGCTCTGTGGCGCAATGGATAGCGCATTGGACTTCTAGTGACGAAAGAGCGATTCAAAGGTTGTGGGTTCGAATCCCACCAGAGTCGGTTTTAGCTCGTTAATACTTTTTTTCTTTCTTACCTGGTTTTTCTTAAAAGCCTATGCCTTTTCCCCTGACCTATCTCTGGGCTTCCCGTTTGGTTCAAGTCCTAAGCTTAGTCTCCGCTCTGCTCTCTTTACTTACCTGTCTGCCCCAGGACTTGGGCCATGGAGAGCAGAACTGGGGGTAGGAGACAGAAGGGAAGGGAACATGGGCATGGACGCCGAGATAAAGGCAGGCCCCTGGCTCCGGGACACACGGGGATTTAATAACCATTTTATTCCATGCACTAGGGACTTGGGAAAGGACTGGGACTGAGCTGGAACAGAGGGTACAATCCTAGACGCAGGGTGGAGGAGGTCAGGGAAAAGGGACAGGGATCGGGGAATATATATTTATATAGATACTCTAATATAGACCACATCTCACCCACGCGCCGAGTCCCCGCGCCCCGCTGCCCTCCCCAACACCTCTGCCGTGCGCCCGGATCCCCCTGCTGCCCTCGGGCTGGAGTCTCTACCCCACTCCCAGCCCCCGCTCCCGCCCCCATCTCCCCAGAGCTCAGGGCCAAGGTCTCCAGAAAGCGGGTGGCGGGAGCGGCGGGGCCTTGGGCGCCCCGTCTTGTCTGTAAGGCGGCGGCGGCGGTGGCAGCAGTCCGGTGAGGGGCGCCAGCGCGCCAGAATCCCAGGCGCTAGGGGAGCAGAGGGATGGGGACCAAGCGCAGCGCGGACTAGGGGGACCCTGATGCGCTGGGGGGCGCTGGTGCAGCGCAGGGCCGAGGGCGGGTGCGGCGGGGTCCAGCGGTGCACGCGACATCGGAGGCCTCGGATCTACGGGCTCTGGCCGGGGAGGTTTGGGGCGCAGGTAGCCGTGCAGCGCGGAGAAGAGCTGGGCGCGGGCGGCCGGGCTGGCGTCGTGCGCAAAGGCCGCCAAGCGGAGCAGACATTCGCGGAAGCCGGACAAGTAGCAGCTGGCGAGCGCCTCGGCGTCCTGGGCCGGGGATCGGGGGACCCCTGGAGCCGCGGCGGCGGAGGCGGCCAGCGGGAAGACAGGCGGGCAGGGCGGGGACCCGGCAGGGCGAGGGACGGGGCGGGGCGCAGAGGTACCGGGGCGCACGAGCGCACGGGGGGATGGACAGAGAGACAGCGAGGGAGACACAGACAGACACAGACACGCGCGGGCGTTATTAACCTCGCCTGGGAGCTCAGCCTGCCGCTCCCCGAGCCCCCCGTCCCCAGCCGGGCCCCCAGGGTCCTCCCTCCCGCCGCTGCCCCACCCCCGCTCTGTACCCGGGGGCTCCACCCGGCTTCGCTCCCTCAAGTAGCCCACGGCGAACTCCAGGATCTCCGCCTTCTCCAACTTCGGGTTCCGGAGGTTCTGCAGGCGGGAGGGGAGGGCGCAGACAGAAAGGGGTGGGGAGAGAGGGGGAAGTGGCAGGGGGAAGAAGGGAGGGGCGGATGCGGGAGCGGGGGTGCCCCCAGAACGCGCGGCTGCACGTGGAGTGAGATGACCAAGAGTGGCCCTGGCCCACCCTGAGGCGGAACTGTCCAGGCCGAGGGCATGGAACCAGCACCCACAGTGTGAGGCGGGGGCACAGACGGCAGCCCAGGGGGTGGAAACCACCGGCCGGACTCGAGCTGGCTGATCTGGGGTGTACGGGAGCGGAAGGGACATCAGAGAGGGCGGGACGGCTGACCCCACCTGGGAGTGCAATTCACAGAACCAGACGGAAAACTCCCAGCCCCGGCGATCTGAGAGCGGAGGGGACCTGGAACGGGATCCGAGGCCCGGGCTCGGGGCAGGGAGAGCTCGGGGCCAGGGCTGCCCCTCCAGCCTAGGTCCACCCTACCGGCCGCCCCGGGACGGGGAATCGGATCCCTGGGGTCCGCACCCAGCGGGGGACTGACCTGGTCCCGGGTGCGCTCCAGCAGCAGCAGCCGAAGCTCCTCCAGGCTGCGGTTGATGCGGTCCCGGCGCCGCTTCTCCACCAGCGGCTTCAGCATCTGCGGCCAGCAGGGAGGGGAGAGCGGGCCGACCGGGCCGAGACTCAGCGCCGCCGCGCCGGCGTCCGGATCCCGCCGCTGGGAGAGCTTCTTCCACTGTCCCAGGACCCCGATCGCCTAGTCGGGCCCTCCCGTCCTTCTCCAGCCCCTTCCCGGCCCTGAATCCGGTTCTGAAGCTCGCCCCTCTCCTGGGTCTGCTGCGTTCTCCTGTCTCAGCCTCGTCCTCCCTCCTCCCCAGCCTGTGCCTCTCCTCTTTTCTCTCTACCTCTCCGTCTTATGCAGTCTCTGTCTCAGGGGAGAACTCTGGGGACCCTCTCTGTGCCCAGGCAAGTGGGCTGCACAGGGCGGGTCTCAGAGCGGGTGGCCCTGAGTGCAGAGAGGGAGACACCTAGCGCGTCCGCTTCCCCTCCTCTCCCTCAAGCCGGGCCAGGCCGCCCCCTTCTCCACTGCTTTTCCTGAAATCTTCCTCTGGGACTGTGGACCCACCCCCAAGACCTTCTGCAAAGACCACTTTGGGTCAGCTCTGGTTCAGAGCCCCAGTGGACTCGGGCCCATTCATTCTCTCTTCTCAATTCTTTTCTCTCTCTCTCTCTCTCTCTCTCTCTCTCTCTCTCTCTCTCTCTCTCTCTCTCCTCTTCTCGGTCTTCTCCTCTCTTCCCTCTCCCTCCACCCCTTCCTTGGCTCCCTCTCGCTTGTTTTACTGAAATCCTGGCCCTCTCTTCCCCACTGCCCCTCCCGCAAGGTCCTGCTCCGACCCTGTCCCTTTCTTCATCAAACTTCGTGGTTTCCCCTGCAGCCCGTGGCCCCTTGGATCTTCCCCACCCCGGGCACCTCTCCCCTTTCATCCCTATCTTCGCTCTTGATCCACGGTGTCGGGGCCCAAGTCCCCAGGCCGGACCGAGGGCCTCTGCTCCCTTCCCTCCCGCCTCTCACCTTGGGGCCGTCCCTATTCTCTGCTCTATCCCGGGTGACCATTGCTCCTCCGGACCCTGGAGCCGGCCGGGTGGTGCACGCCTTGGTCCTTATATCCCGCCGCGAGGGGGTAGGAGGGATGGCCACGCCCCGCCCCCTTCGGCAGGCACCTCGGTCCAGCCGGGCCGGGACCCCTGCACCATGCTCCCGGAAAGGCCAGGAGCGAGGGGGGAGGGGACGGAGAGGAGCAGGCCCGGGAGGGTGGGAAATAAGGGTCGAATAGGCACCGGCTGGTTTAAGGACCATAAGGCTGTATAATGAGGCGGGACACATCAAAACGGAGAGGCTATTGCGGGGAGATGGAGTTTCAGTGTTTGGGGACAGAGCCCAAAGGTGAAATTCAGGGAGCTCTCCTAGAGTTGCAGCTTTCTGGGAGATTCACTGTCTCCCCCCACCCCACCCCCACACACACAAGAACACGAAAATAAAATTAGCAATCCTCAGCCTTCAGGCTAAATACTGTAAATTGTCTCCCTAATACCCCTCCTGGTCAATATGGGGAATAACCATGCAACCCAAGGGAATAACTGAGCCCAGATTCAACTGGAGCTCTCTGCCTGGCGCTGGGAGAGGCGCGCGGTTCAATTTTGCTCGCCGGCTGTGCGCCCAGAGCACTGATGTAGGGCTGAATAGTTCAAACTGAAAACTGCGGGAGAAGTCTACTCATCCCTGCAGATCTAGTGGGAAAGGCCACGTGGCATCAGGCTATTATAAAAGCAAACGGGTGGGTGTTCTGGAAAAAAGATTTCCTTGAAAATGACTGGACTAAAAAGAAAAGAAAATGACTGGACTAAGAGAGGACAAGGGACGCTTGAAGAAGAATTAAATCTTTAAGGTCTGAGTAGGAGTAGAAAGATCTTTCTATTTACAAGTATGTAGCTCAAGACGACTCAGGAACGCAGCCAATAGGAAACCTCATCCATGGGTGCCCGCGTTGCTAGCATGGGGAGGCCCTTCCTAACTGAAGGCGAGCAGGGAGCAGGCAGTTTTCCTAAAGGGACAAGAGAGGGATACAAACGGGGGAACACGCACCTCAAACCAACAGCATGACCCTCTCCGGAAAGACGCCTGAACACTTGGAGACCTCGGGATGAAGTGCCTGGGAAAATAAATCAGAGATTCAGTGGGTCAGAGAGTGCCACGGGCAAACACAGGGAGAGACAGGGTGGCAAACCCAGGCAGAAGACAGTTGCCAAGAGGCGACTGGGGTTTCCTCCAGCCCTTCCCGTGCCCCTCCACAACTCGGTTTTTTACGCAGCAGAAAACAAAACAAACCTGCCTCGCCAAAGCCCGAACCTGGAGGGCCCCAGAACTTGAGGAGGGGGTCCCCATTTGGGAACAGGGCCCCCAGCACATCCCACCTCCCTACCTCCGCCAAATGGGAGGGCAGATGTGTGGCCTCCGCAGCCCCCGCCGCCCCCCTCCTTGGGAACCTGGGCTCGAGTTGAGTTTTTCTCACCTGCACGAGAGGCTCGGGGGCCTGAGCTGTTCGCACCCGGGTGTGGGGCCGCCCCTTGCCATATGGAGTGGGTTTATGACCGGGTGGCCGGATCCAGGCGGGAGGAAGAATGACCTGGAGTCCCACCCACGTGAACGGCAGCAGCCACCCCTTCGTCGAGTTTACAGCCTCTGCCGCCAGCCCAGCGTCGATGACCTCAGCTTCCTACAAAAGGGAAAGTAGGGAAAGTCGAAGCATCTCTGCATTGGTGGTTCAGTGGTAGAATTCTCGCCTGCCACGCGGGAGGCCCGGGTTCGATTCCCGGCCAATGCAGCTGAGAAAGTTACTTTTCGTGCTCTTTTTCAAGGAAGAAAACATTCTTTTGATGTTTTTGATGTGGCTTATCTGCTTAGACATTTCTATCTGGTGTTAAGCGTGGCCCTTTGACGCTTGGAAAGCCGGAAGCTCCTGACCTACACGCCGATCTCTGGGTGCTCACATGCCCCTCCTCTGGGTGGGAGGGTCCTGCAGCCCCCACGCCCGGCCCTCCCCTGATCCGCACCTCCACAGGCGTGACCCTGAGAAAGGACGCAGCCCCAGGATCCCCACCCCGGGGGTCCCCAGCCCTCGGCGGCGGGGAGGGCGTTGTCCCCGCCCCCGCGCTCTGAACGCCTGGCTCCTCTCGCCACCCCTGTCGCTGTCCCTCTCGTCTTCAGTTCTGTCCTCCCAGGCCTGGGCCTCGTCCGTCCCGCCGTTTTCCTGTCCTCTGAAGGCTGGCGGGTGACTCCCGGCGCACAGGCTCCCCCGGTAGGGGTCTCTGTGCTGCGTCTTTAGGGTCCCTGCAGCCTCCGCTCCGGCCGTGCCCGCCGGGCCCTCGCGAACCTCCCGTCCCGCCCCCATGCCTCTGCCTCGCCTCTCCGGTGTCCCCGTAACCCCGACTCCGCTCCCACGCTCCAGCCCGGCCCCGGGCAGCTCGCGCTCTCGCACCTCCCGGTTCCCGGCACCTCCCCGCCCCGCCCCTTCCCGGCCGCTTTGATCGCGCACGCGTCGCGCCGGCGGGAGGCCGGGAGGGCGCGCGGCCCCCTGCCGAGGCCACTTGTGCGTCCCACACCCCGCCACCCGCCTCCGCCCCCTTCCGGCGCGTCCCGCCCCTCTCCGCGCCCCTCCTCCCGGCGTGCCTGCAGCTGCGGCCCGGGTCCCGGAGCGCCCAGGCTGGGTCCCAGCCTCAGGGTACCCTGGCCTCGCTGTCTGTTCCTGATTTCTGTTTCCTGCTGCTTTCAGCCTGTTTGATCTGGACCAGAGTCCGGATCTCTGTCAGGATCGTGTCAGTGACAGACCGTGCTCTCAGCCTTGACAGAGTCCCAGAAGGATCTGTGAAGCAATCCGAGCATCAGTGGGTGCAGCTGCTGTATTTATTCACTAAGTGGATGTTTACACTCGGTCATCTTGTCCCCTGAGTACTGTTAGGCATAGAAGCCACGTTTGGGCTGGGCGCTCCTGAAGCTGCAGTACACTGGGAAGATGGAAAATAACCAAGAAAACAGAAAATATTACAGGATAGTGGCTAAGGGTCACAAGGCTGGAGCTCCACTCTGGTGAACCATTACAGGCCATCCCTTCCCTAGCAATGACTTAGTAGAGTGTAGCATAGGACTGTTGTAGTCCTGGTGGTCAGAGACAGCCTCTAAAAAGAGATGATAATAGGACCTTGTGTTGTGCGCTTTGAGTCCCAGTAAAAGAGCAGCTTCAAAGGCCGTGAGATAGGAGAAGGCTTTGCTGGTGAGAGCTAGTGAAAGAGCACCAAGGAACCCGGGCTGCAGAATTTGGAAGAAGTGGAGACAAGGCAGGAGAGGCAAGGCCTGTCACCCAGGGCCACAGAGCCTCCTAAGGCGCTTGGGTTTTGGTCTACGTGCAACAGGAAGCCAGAAGAGAATCTTCTCCAGGAAAGCTGTTCTCTGGCTTCTGTCTCAAAGACCACTTTGAAGGACTGTTTGAGCCCAAGAGTTCAAGGCCATGGTGAGATCCCCTCTGGCATCACCCAAAAATAAAAAATAAGTAACTTTGGAGTCCTGCCTTGGTGCATTGTTCTTAGGAGAGCCTTGGTGTTTCCCACAGCTGCAGACCCGCATCTGCTGTGCCCCCTCTCTGTAAGAGAGGGGTTTCCCCTGCTTCCTTGCTGCTTCCAGCCGGTGTCTACACACTCTCACCGGAAGTCCTGGGTATTCCCATCAGCATCAGAGGTGCTTTGAGTCATCCCTGAGAAAGCCGCAAAATCCTCATTTGGAAAGGTAGAGAAACTTCCTAGGCTACAGGTAGAGGCTTTCTAAGCAGGCTGAGAGCCTATCTCAGACGTGAACCAAGAATTTCCAGTGCACAGGTCAAATTACCACGAAGATAATGAAATCCAGAAACTCTTCCTTACACAAACCCTGGGAAAGGTCCCACAGGGTGTTCACAAGGCTAGGGCCTTCTGTGAATTTCTCAAACATTAGCTCTTTCAAGCATGAGTGTCCTCTTTCTAGTCTTCCAGCCTTCTCTCCATTCTGCTCTCAGCCTGGTGTTGGACTTAGGGTCTGGTTACAAAGAAGGTGAGTTGGAGAGACATTGGATCCGCAGTTTCTTGGGATATAGTGCTATGATTGCAGTCATTTTTACATATCCTTACCTTAACCTAGCCACCTGGTGTAGGAGTAGCTTCCAGAAGACAACTGTCATTTTCCCAAGTTGTGAGGGTACAGAGCAAGATGGCATGTGTCATATGACAGAGTCCAGTGACTCTTGGCACTGTGGTTACCTAGGTGCAGAGGAACAGTAAGATTTGAATATACAGAGCCAACAGCTACTCTGTGGAGAGTATTATAAAGGTTTGTACGCAGTTATTACACGCAAGTTATTTTTCTGCACTTGGTGGAATTTGACATTTTGTTTCCATTGAGACAGGATCTCACTGAATCTCTAAGCAACCCAGTTTGAGCTTGAACTTGTGATCCTTCTGCCTCAGCCTCCCGGAGTGGTGCTGGAATGACGGTGTGCATCAGCAACCAAGCCTGGTGTTATTTGTCAGTTTTTAAATTTGTAAATTGTGGTCTCGTTTCACTGTAAATGACACTTCTTTTGGAGACAGGGTCTCACTCTGCAGTTCAGGTTGGCCTCGAGCTCACTTTGTAACCCAGGCTGGCCTCAAATTCACAATAATCCTCCTGCCTCAGCCTCCCAAGTGCTGGGATTACAGGCATGAGCAACTATGCCGGACTGTTTTGTTTTGTATTTTTTAAAGTTACAGAATCTTCAGGCCCTTAAAAACCTAGAGCTTGGCTCAGGTGAGGCCAATTGGACAGATTTTCTGCAGGCCATTGCTCTGGTGCAGGTGTGGCCTGTGCAAGGCTCCTACCCCTGTCACCAGTCTGTCTGTGTCTGAGGTTGGCAGTAGCATTCTCCCTGCACTTCGCAGACCTCTCTGCGTCAGTGAGAGTCCGTGCCTGTGAGCACACAGCACACGGGCTGTGACTATGTATACAGTAGCCTAACAGGCTGTGTCCAGGCTGCTGTGCCTCCAGCCTCTGGTTGCCTGCCCTCTCAATGGTGGACCAGGACATGGGGCAGCAGGAGCAGGCTGCTGCCCAGCCACGAGAGCCTTCAGAGAGGCAGAGCTGGAGGAACACAGTCTCGGCTTCCCCTGTCCCACTGACTTCTCTCCAGACCTGCGTGCCAAGGATGGTTCCCCCTTCAGTTCTTCAAAGGGAAGGCTGGCTTCCTGGGACCCCTTGGGAGGAGAGCTCCTGAAGAGTTGAGTCTTTGGGGCTGGGGATCAGAGACCAGGAAGCAGGAGGACCAGGCTCCCCGGCGGTGGGAAGAAGCCTGACAGATCTCTAGGCACAAAGCCAGCTCCCAGGTCCGGCCTCCCTCTGCTCCTTGACTATGGAAACGCAAGAAAGAAAGAAACAGACCTGGGCAGAAGAGAAGAAGCAGCAAAAATCCTTCAGAAGCTGTGAGCCCTCCAGATACAAAAGACCCAGAGCCTTGACATGCCTCCTCCTCCTCCTCCCCCTCCTCCTCCTCCTCCTCCTTCTTCTTTTGAAATACAACAAAACAAGACAGAGCAAAGCCAATGGAGACAATGTGGTGAACTTGGTATAGAACTTCACAGCAGGGTACCGGGATAACAGTAATAAGTACCACAGTATATCTGGTTATCTTCACAATAGTTGTCCATTCAATCAAGTATAGCAAAATCAAACCAAAGACAGAACATTATAGAACTTATCAAAACAGAATGTTGAGTAGGGCAACACAATTAATCATAATGAAACAAAACAGTGAAAACAACATTTGCCTTCAAACAGAAGATGAAAGAAAATTCCCCATATTTGCTATATTGCATACGGCCATCCTCCCCAGAGATGCTCAGACCTCTGTCCCCCATTGCTAATGGGGTGTGGTGGGGTTGGGATGTTTGATTTCCAACCTGCGCACCCGTAGGCTCACAGGAGAGGTGACTGGGTCCCCTCCTGGCTTGCACCAGAAGGAGGTGCTTACCAAGAGGGCCAGCGAATTGCTTCTTTGTGCAGCTGCCTGGATTCCACCATGGCTGTGGCCCCTGACTTAGTGTCTTCATAGAAAAGAGGAATCACAGGAACAGCAGGTCAGAGAGGGAAGGACGCAGCTTCCAGCCGGGGAGCACCTAGGACTGGCGGCCACCACCCAGAGCCCCGAGGCAGCACGGGAGGATTTCCAGAGTCTCAGAGAGAGCAAACCCCATCTCCTTCCTTAACTGCAGATTTTTAACCTACAGGACTGTGAGCAAAGACCTTACATTGCTCAGGCTCGGGTTGGGGTACTGAATATCTGGTCTGTGATTATGGCAGCCCGAGAATACTAACTAATACAGGTGCCTTCTGAAGGGAGGCTCAGATGAGGTGACAGAGGCCACCAGATAAGGGTTTAAGGCTGCAGGCGTCCCCGTCCCCGGGAGGACAGGCCAGCGGCTAGTAAGTTTGGTGGAGGAAAGCCAAGCAGAAGAGGAAGTACAAAGTGGGAACTGTCACCTGGGACTGAGTGTCAGATCCTGGAAGGGATCTCCTAGAACAGGTGGATGTCAAGAGGGGAGGAGGCAGACGGGGACAAGCACGCCATGCAGAAGAACCCCAACCAAAGGCCTGGAGGTGGCGGGGAACCTGGCTGGTGAAGAGGAGGAGTCAGCTGGGCAGGCTGGGGGCCGTGGCCAGCGCAGGAGCAGCAGGAGGTGACGTGGGAAACCCTCCTGGGCTGTCCTGAGGATTTAGTCTCCAGTGAGGTGCAAAGTCATGAGCCTCTCTCTCTCCCTCTTTTTTTGGAAATGTTAATGTCATTTCAAACTTCTAGAAAAGTGGACTAATACAAAGAACCCGGTGTACTCTTTCCTCAGGTCCACTGAGTGTATTTATTTGATTTCCAGTTTCTTGACCACTAGTATAGGGATGCAGAATATTTATCGTCTAAACCGTCTGGAGGTAAAATTGAAATAGAGGGCCCTTTTGTACCTCCGCTTGCTTTCTCAGGTCAGGCTTGGTGGCGCACACCAGAGGCCAGCCTGGGCTACACACCCAGCGCGAGCCCAGCCTGACTATGCAGCGAGAAGCTGTCTCCAAGGAAGAAAAAAGAAAAACAGAGTTAGTTTCCCTGATACATCGTCAAGCTGAGGCTTAAGATGTGGAGATCACGCATTTTTGGCAGGCTCCTCAGCACAAAAGTGTTTTCTCAGTACACAGAAGATACAACTGACTCATTCCAAAGCTCAGGTATTAGCCTCATCCCCAGGCTTACAATGGTGTTCGTAAATATTTACCAACTCCAGACCCAGAAATTCCACCTAGTAATTTTCCCAAAATAGAGAGAAACCAGCGTGTGTACCCCCCCAAAAAGGGAGGGGTGTTCACCAGGTTTTTATGTAAT